ATATATAAAGTTATACACACACACACACACATGCATATATATACACACATACAAATTTTTCTTTTTTTATTAAAAAAAAATGCTACCTTGCAGGGACCTGGCCAGCCTGGTAGGATGACAATGACACAGGGGTCATTGTCCCTCATGACTCATGTCCTCATGACTGTCTACTCCACAGTATAGAAACTATTGTCCTTGCCATGCCAGTGAAAGGTAAAGTCTGGACTGGGACCAAGACAGGGGCATCAGAGTCCAACCTAGTGTGCAGTCTATGGGCCTGGGGACCAATGGGTAAGCTGACCTCTGGCAGTAGGATCAGCCTGCTGTTTGGCTACACTGCCTCCTCTGGACAAACAGCTGGACAGGATAGGAGTGGGTGAAAAAGCAGCTAAATGCTTTGTTGTGGGGTATGACCACACCCTTGCCTGTTGGGGTGGCCTGGACCCTGCCTCCCTGTAAAACTAAGTTCTCTCTTCCTGCTTCTTAGGAGCTCTGTGATGGGGAAGGCCAAGGAGGGGCAGCTCCTTGGTGATCCTCAGTGAGTCTTTATACAGGAGAGTCTAGGCTGGGTTGAGTCATCTATTTAGTATGAGAGTTCCTGCCTGGACTGCCACCCTGGGCAAGACCCAGCTAAGGTAGCCTGTGAACCCTTCCCCAACAGTGAAGGGGCTGAGATGGAAATTCCAGGAGCCGCATCATCCATGGAGGTTCTGAATTCCCTGACATTGCCTTTGTTTTTAAAACCCTAGAGTGGGAAAAGAGATTCTTTCCACTCAGCTGGAGCTTCTGAGTGGGCTTAAATCAGGACCACAAAGGACTTCAAACCCGGACTCCTGAGCCTGCCCCACCCCAGTGGGTTCTTCTTGCAGCCTCCACAGGGAAGTGTGGCAGCTCTAGAAAGGGCTGCAGTGTTGGCTACCTGCCAAGTCTGTGCCCCGCCTGTCTGAGGTTGCAGCACCCCACCACCACCACCATTCTGGGAGTCCAGTGTTGGGATTCCTTCTCTTAGGTGCTGCCCAGCTTGGCCTTGCCCCTGTGTCCACTTTAGCCAGGCCCCTCCTTCCAGGACAGACCTCCCTGTGGCCTGTGGTGGACCTGATGCAGAGCAGATAAAGATGTCCCTTCCTCAGCACACTTCTGCTGGGAAATGCACTTTCAGAAGCTGCAGCACGGAACAGGAAGAACTAGGCATCTGCTTCCCCAAGCTAGGCTGGCACAGTGGCCTGCGGCTCAGCTAGCTCCCTTCAAGGGCCCAGCTCATCTACATGTCTAGGGAAGATGCTCATGTGCAATAGCCTACACTCCATTCCCACTCTGACCACCCTGGGTTCTCTTACAGATTGAACAGGAGGGTGTCTCAGTGAAGGGCAGCCCCCACTTCAGCCCTGATTCTGATGCAGAGACCCTCTACAAAGCCATGAAGGGAATTGGTGAGTGGGAACCCACAGCTTCCACAGAGTTTGGGACCTCTTGGCTCTCCACCTGCTCTTCCCCAGACTCCTTGACTGGCAGCCCTGGAAGGGGGTTGCCAGGGACCAGCCAGCAAGGGCAAAGTCTTCCATCACCCTGAAACTGACCCCTGGCACCCAGAAAGTCACATAAGCTCCAGCTTCCCCAGCAGTGATGTACCCCCAGCCAACCACCCCCAAGACCAGAGGGGGAGGGAGGTTATACCTACCTGAGTATGTGAAGTGTGTGCAGAGGGAGCAGGTTGCTATGTCCTTATAGGACTGATTTCACTCTCAGCCTCAATTTCCTCATTCATAAAGCAGACCCTAGAGCTCTGGCTGATGCACGCAGAGTGCCAAGATAGCCTTGGCATAGAGGAGATTCTCCTCAGGCAGGAGTCTGGGGAGCTGATCGAGGGCCTGGAAACATTAGGCCACACAGATGTGCAGTTAGATCATTGACACATCAGGCTACCATAGAACTGCCTCCTTCTTGTCTCCTATATCCCAGTGCCTCCTCAGCACTGCTGTAAGGAGATAAGGCCTGCCCCAGCCAGGATGGGGAAGCTCAGCCCACGAAGCACTCAAAACCTAAACAGAGTATAGCCCTTCTTATGCAGATGGGAGCTACCCTTTGGCTGCTCTGCCTGGGAATTGGGGCACTGCCCAGTGAGAGCTGCCATTCCCACATCAGCCTATGAAGCATCTGTACTTCCTGTGAAGTCTTTCCCACTGTCTCCATTTCACAAATGAGACACTAAGGGTCAGCGAAGGTAGCTACTGCACTCCTGGTGAGAAGTTGGGCCAGGACTTAGGCCCAGGACTCTGGACTTTTGGTCCTTATCCCTTCCCACAGCACCTGCTGCTGCCACCAACATTAAGGAGGTCAGGGCAGGAGAACTCACATGCCCAAGGTGCAAAGACCCAAGTGGATGCCATGTCCAATGTCTATGGTTCTGATCCTATCTGAGAGGCTAGGCCCTACCATAGCTGAAGCTGTGTGGGTAGGAGGTGTCAGGTAGGGAAAGATAGTTTTCTGTCTGGGTGACTTAGGGAAAGATAGTTTTCTGTCTGGGTGACTGTTGGCACTATGGAAGTCATTGATGTTTGAAACTATCCAGAAACAGTTTCCCCATTGCTTGGCCACGAAGCACCTGCCACAAACTTCTTGCCTCCCCCATTAGCCTATGCTGTACAGTGTGGGTTCACTATGTGCCCCTGCAGGGACCAATGAGCAGGCCATCATTGATGTTCTCACCAAGAGAAGCAACGCACAACGGCAGCAGATTGCCAAGTCCTTCAAGATGCAGTTTGGCAAGGTAGGAGGAGGGATGGGGATGGGAGCCAGTGCTGGCAAGAGCAGGGAATGCTCTCTTCCAGAAGTAGCCAAGGAGGCAACTCCATTCAGATGCATCATGGCCAGGATTGCTAGTTTTGGAAAATAAAATATAGGATGCCCACTGAAATTTGAATTTAAGGAAACAACAAATACTTTTTTAGCATAAGTATATTCCAAATACTGCATGGGACATACTTATACTACAAAATTATTGTTTATCTGAAATTTAAATTTAACTAGATGTCCTGGATTTTATCTGGTAACCATATATAGGGCTTCTAGGCCCCTGGTTTTCTGCAGTCTGATCCCACCTTCTTTCCACCCTGTCCCTCACTGCACTCCTTTTCATTTGCTCCATGGTCCCCTTCCAGAAGCTCCATCTCCCTGCCTCCAGGTATTTCCCATCTTGTTCCCAGGTTCATAAAGCCCTTCTCCTTCCTGCACCTAGAGATGCAAGTCTGGCTTTGCTCAACCATGTGGCATTGATTCTAGATCCTTCATGAGGGAGCTACTTGTCCCCGTATCCTATCCCCTCTGCTACATGAGGACTCTGCAAAGGCAGGGAGTAAGCAGGCCACACCTTTTGTTCTCTCTCCTGCTCACAACCCCAGGTAGAGCTGGGCACCCATGGTGCTCCATAAATGCAGCAATGAGTTTGCACAGGGAGGGCCCAGTCACCCTTGGGGAACCAGGGCCCATTTCTTACTGTTTTTCTCTCTCTTCGCTCCACAAGTCTTCAGTCTTTTCTGCCTTCAATATTTAAGGAAACTGATGTCAGAGAGGCCCATCAAATTGTTCAAAACCTCAGAGTTTTGTAAGCAATAAGGCTGGGATTTAAATCGAGCCTGAAAAAGCCCTTGATCTTGCTGCTTCCTGTGCAGACCAACTGGGTGTAGCCTGAGGCTCCCAGTAGATACATGTGCCTGTAGAAGGAGACACATGTGAGGTACACTCCCTAGTGCATTCACTTATTGAAGTCAATGATCTACATGATAGAGATTGAAAGGTGACAAAGCAGGTGTGGTGCCTGCCCTAAGCCACAGCCTGGGGAGTAATGGGAAGCAGCAACCAAGGGCTCATGTTGGGCTCAGAACTGTGCTGCATGCAAAGTTCATAGTCACATACACCCCTCAAGAATTCTTCAAACAGCAGTATAAAGCAGGAATCTCACTGTGCTGTAAAGCAAGTGGAGACATTGATGTTCAGAGAGGCTAAGGAGTTGACCCAGGACACTTAGCTGACATGTGGCACAACCCATGTGGCCTCCACTGGCCCCTCTCTTCCCTCTGCACTGAGGAAGCTGGCATAGCAGTCACCACTTCTCCTGTCCCTGCACTAGGATCTCACAGAGACCTTGAAGTCAGAGCTGAGCGGCAAATTTGAGAGGTTCATCGTGGCCCTAATGTACCCACCATACAGATATGAAGCCAAGGAGCTGCATGAGGCCATGAAGGTGACTGGGGAGACAAGTTGGGGGGATTCTTACAAGGACAAAGTGAAGGTAATGCTGGGACACCTTGTTTCCTCAGAGCTTGAGCTATAATGTTGCTGTGGTCTGGAATGATCCCCTGGGATGGAGAACATACCAGGCTGGGCCAGTGGCTCTCAGCCTACTGCTCAGACAGCCCACCAGCACTAGGTTGACTGGCCTTTGCTCTTATGTGTCCATGATGGAACCAAACTCAGGGTTTCCCAAGATTTCAGTGACAAGACATGTGGTGCAATTAGAAATTGATCTCTATGATCACTGTGCATGACTCCTGGGCCCCCTTCATTTTCCATCAATCCTTTTTGTTTTTGCAGTGAGAATCAAAGACCTAGGAATAGTAGTCACTTCTACTGAAAGTACAGGTGTTGGATGGACACCAGCAGGCATTTTCCATATAGTACCTCTAATGCACTTTTTCCGAAGTATAAAAGAGGATATGTAGGCTCAAGGAGGGGAAGGGGCCTGTTTGACACCACCAGCTATGGAGGGCAGACAGAGCTGAGAGGGCTCCTCTCATTCCATGTCACCTGCCATTTCTATGCCTAGAGACAGACATGCATGGTTCTCCCGTGAGGTCCTCCCACCGAGCCTCTCATGGTTTCCAGTGTGGGACAGAGCCATGGCCAGTTCTTCCTGAGGCCCAGCAGCCACCTTGACAACAGAGGATGGTGGGCAGAGCAGGAGACTGCAAATGAGATCTCCAGCAGGTTGCATTTTATTCACAGGGTTTGGGAACCAAAGAGAGTGTCATCATCGAGATACTGGCATCTCGGACCAAGAACCAGATCCAAGAGATAATGAAAGCATATGAAGAGGGTAAGGTGGCCTACTGTGCTTGGGAGCCCAAGCTCAAGGCTGGTTTGGGGACAACCAGAAAGTTTAGCTACGTGGTGGGGTGGGAAGGCAGGCAGAGCACTGTACAACATGCTTTTCCACCCATGGGTGCTGAGCCCCTACTGTGTCCCACGTCTTCACCTGACACTGGAACTCAATGTGATCCAGACTCCATATCTTGCCCCAAGCTCACCAGTCCTGGGGATGACAAGTATATGTTCAGCCAGATCTACTCCCTAAGGACTATGACCAAACTGTGTCAGTGGTGGATGGGGGTGGTACAAAGGCTCCAGAGGGTGATCTACAAGCCGGTTGCTATAAGGATGTGGCCCATAGGCCAGCTCTCCTATGGGTCTGTGAGATGTGAGGTGACAGTGGAATGAGTGGGAGCCCAACTGTTGAGCTGACTCAGCTCCCTGACCTGGCCTATCTCTGCCTTTGATGGGATGTCCACACTGATTACAATTCTGAAAGCCCCATGACAATGGAGTCTCTGCCACTTGGATCCTGGGCACATTCTCCACCCCCCACCAAGGACTTGTCCTTCTAGAAGCTTTAATCAGGACAGGTGTTGACATGAGGCTGACTGGAAGAAGAGCAGTCCTAGGTTAGCCCTGGGTCTCATGGCTCTGTCCTTGCAGACTATGGGTCCATCCTAGAGGAAGACATTCAGTCAGACACAAGCGGCTACCTGGAGAGGATCCTGGTGTGCCTCCTGCAGGTATCACGCCCAGTTTTGGGAGCCCTGGGCTAGGAAACCCCAACAGGGGGCCATGGGCATGGGGCAGGCTCAGTTGCCTGGGCTCATAAATGCATCTCAGTGTGGCTGGATGGTCCTAACAGCAGAGCCCTCACCTCTCCCGACTCAGCCATATGACACATCTGGAGGAGGGAGGGGAGCCTGTCCCTGGGCAAGCCCTGGCTTCCTGCAGGCCTCTGCCAGGCTGCCAGTCAGGTACTCCCTTTATCTTGTGGGACCCCCGACACCCTGTGAGGTGACTCTCATTGCTGCCACTTTATGGATGAGAAAACTAAGGGTTGGGGAAGGTCTCAAAGTCAACAGCCTTGTGCCCTGTCTGCCTTCTGGGGTTGGCTTGCCTCAAGCAGTTCCTTCTCTTTCCTCAGGGCAGCAGGGATGACATGAGTGGTTTTGTGGACCCTGGCCTAGCCCTGCAGGATGCACAGGTGAGGTTGTGAGGCTGAACCCTCTGTGGCTGCCAGCCCTTGGCCTCTGGACTTCCAGGGCAGAAGACTTACCTGGTCAAGGGCTTTCATTGACTTGGGTCCTGTCAGTTCTCTGAAGGCTTTGCCCTTCGGTATCTGAGGAGAATGAGTGGACAGGGAGGACTCTCAGGAGGAAGGAGAGGGACTGGGGGCTCTGAAATTCTATCACAGAAGGGACAGGCCAAGGGTCAAGGGACCTGGGCCCAGAGGACAAGGTGTGGGTTCAGGCCTGCCTGGTGGTGAGCAAAGTCTAGAGAGTGCATAAAGCCTTGGGGCAGGTTAGGGGTTTCTGAATGTAGCTATTCGCCCAATGTGAAGAGATTTCTAACCACCAGAGCTGTTGGGAGATAGTGAGCTTAGGAGATAGTGAACTTCCTGTCAAAGAGATAACTAAGCAAAGAGTAATGTGACTAGTAGAGTAGTTGAGGTTGACCCTTCAGCCCCAGTTCCATGACTATGGACGACTCCTTGCTTCCCTTCACCACTTTCCTTGTGTGTCCCTCAATGCCAGGACCTGTATGCAGCTGGTGAGAAGATCCATGGAACTGATGAGATGAAATTTATCACCATCCTGTGTACACGGAGTGCTACCCACCTGATGAGAGGTACCAGGTGGCATGAAGGCCCCAGGAGTCCCAAGAGCAAGGGAGAAAGGGAGACACAATAGAGTTCCCCAGCCTTGGGCTCCAGTTTTAGGCATGAACTGTCCAACAGGCAGACTTGCTAAGCTAAGAAATGACTAGTGAGCCCTGAACCTGGTAGGGAGCTCAGGGCTGGTGCGCTCGCATACGGTGTCTGACGTAAGATTAAGATAGCATCATGCTGAGATCATGTGTCCTCTAAGTGCAGCACTCTGTCCACAGTGTTTGAGGAATATGAGAAAATTGCCAACAAGAGCATCGAGGACAGCATCAGGAGTGAGACCCACGGCTCACTAGAGGAGGCCATGCTTACAGTGGGTAAGACCAGAGCCATGAGGTGCTAGGATGCATGTGGAATGGCAGGATGTAGGGCTCAGAGGTGGGGCACTGTCAGTGGTCTCAGGCCCAGGGAAGCCATTGCAAGGCTGGACCCCTAGGATCCCCTTCAAGGGACTTCACTTGGACTGTATGTTTGGCCTCTACCCCTCAGCCCAAGATATTGGCCACACTTCTATGTGCTATTTTCTGCCAGGGAATGTCCTCTGTGCTGACCATGCAGGATCTGGTGTTTATGCATGTGTGGGTGTATGCATATGCATGTGTGTGTATGTATATATATGCACAGTGAAAGGCATCTGACTGCTAGCCAGAAAATTGGTGGTTCAAACCCACCAGCCACTCCACAGAAGGAAGACTGGACAATCTATTTGCATAAAGATTTACCACCTTGGAAAACCAATGGGGGTCACTATGAGTCGGAATCAACTTGGTGAAATTGTGTCTCCTCTCTGCTATTAAGGAGCTGGGTTCTTGGGGAGCCAGATCTGGGGTGAGACCCTAGCACTGCACTGAGGCAAATGTTCATCAATGGGCCAGAGCTAAAGGCCCGCAGACAAGCCTGTGGGCTCCAGTGCTACACATCTTTCCCTTTGTATCCCTGTTCTGGGTCTTTGGACCTGTCCCCAGTGCCCCAGGCTTCCTTCCTTGCCATTTCTACCTGACTCAAAGTCACTTGCTTTGGAACTGGGCAACCCCCCCCCAAAAAAAAAAAAAAAATCCACTGATGTCAAGTTGATTCCAAATCATAGCAACCCTAATAGGACAGAGTAGAACTGCTCTACAGGGTTTGCAAGACTCTAAATCTTTATGGAAATAGACTACCACATCTTAATCCCACAGAGCAGCTGGTGGGTTTAAACCACTGATCTAACTGGTGGGTTTGAACTAACTGATTGGTTAGCAATCAAGCACTTTAACCATCATACCACCATTCTGAAACTGGTCAGGGAACACCTAAATACATCAGGCTTTACACAATGCTAATCCTTAAGACCAGAGACAACACATAAATGAATAAACCTTATGTAATGCCATCTACAACCTCTAGCGACTAACAGTACCTTCTTGTCTGCCAGTGAAATGCACACGGAACCTCCATAGCTACTTTGCAGAGCAACTCTACTATGCCATGAAGGTAATCATCCCTGATCCCTTGGCTTTTCTTTTCTGCTTCTCTTACAATCAGCCCTAAGTGGCACCAACTGCAAAGTCAAGTTGCCCAGAGCCACTTGCAATCTTCAACCCCTGGGTCCTCTCTTATCCCAACCTTGTGTGGATGAGAAAAGTCTTAGCTCTCAGAGGGGCAAACTGAGCTGAGGAAGGGCAGTTACATCCCCCAGCATGGAATTTGAACAGATGCATGCACAGGTGTGCACTAACTTTGACAATTCTGTGAAATGATATTGTAATTATCATCCTAGAGATGGTGTAACCAAGGCTCCAGATTAAGGTCATACAATTGGAAAGTGGCAGAGCCATGACTTAAACTCAAGTTAATCCAATGTCTTTTCCATTGTATCCTACACCTCCTTGAAGAAGTAGAGTTCGCTGCTGGGGATCATAGGCAATGCCTGCTAAGAAATCAAGCCTCCAATGGCACTGACAATTTCCAAGGAAGGTTACTACACATGGCACCACAACCTCCCTATATGTGCTAGAGTGACAAACTCAGCTTGCCTGCTGTCTAAAAGACTGCACTGTCTGCAAAAACAGATGCTCAAGCCACTCATGACAGATGGAGTTTCTGGTATTTGATAGCTTCCGAACTGAGAGTAGATAATCAAATTAATTTTCCAAAACTAAAGTCAGTATCCTTGCACACTGATGGTTGTTGAAGTAAGACCCATACCAGAGCCCCCAAGCTCCCTGCCCATGGCTGCCTCAGAAATGAGAGAAAGCAGGGGGATCCTTTGGCCTCAGCTGGCATGGGGGAGGACATGTGTACCCACCCACCATGAGAATGGTCAGGAATGAAGAACAGGAAAGTCTGCTTGGAAATGGCCAACTAAATTGATTTGGATGATACTCTACAAGAAGTGTCACTTCTGGGTAGTAAATATTTTATGCTTGGATCCTAGAGTCTGATGGGCAAACCAAACAGCACAATTTGGGGCCTTTGGCTTTTCACAAAGGAAGAGGTGTGGGCCATGGGTGAGGAGATATTAAGGGAATGGAGCACTGAGTTACTAAAGCATCCCTCCTCATGTCTTGCATTTCCATACCCTTCAAATACCTCAGGACCCCATAGCACAGACTCATCCATCACCATGGAGATGGAATTGAAAGGCGTGAAGTGGTTTTTGAATTTTGCTATCTTGCCAGGGAGCAGGGACACGGGATGGCACCCTAATAAGGATAATTGTTTCAAGGAGTGAGATTGACTTGAATCTCATCAAGTGTCAGTTCAAGAAGATGTATGGCAAGACCCTCAGCAGCATGATCATGGTAAGTTAAAGCCTCTGAATTCTGATGCTGATTTGAAATATAGGCATGACTGGGAGACCTGGATGTTGCAGTGTCCTAGGGCTGCTTTGATGAAGTACCCCAAAACTGGATGGCTCATAAGAATAAGGTTTATTGTCTAATAGCTCTGGAGACCAGAAGTCCAAATTTAGGGTATCAGCCAAGCCATATTCTCTCTGAAGTCTCTAGAGGAAGACCCTTTTTTGTCTCTCCCAGCTTCTGGTACCCTCAGGCATTCCTTGGCTTGCAGCTGCATCATCATCACACAGCCATCTTCCCTCTGTCTGTTTCTCTGTGTCTCTTATAAGAACATCACTCAGATGAGATTAGTACCCACCCTTCTCTAATATGACTTCATGCTAACTTAATGTCATCAAGACCCTATTTTCAAACAAGGTCGTGTTCATAGGTACCGGAAGGTTAGGACTTCATTCTATCTTTTGGGGGCACAATTCAATATGTGTCATACTCTCAACATCCTAAGTCCCATGTGGATAGCCCTTCCAATGTACAACACATGCCTGAAGTTTTACCATGTGGTGTGTGTAAGGAACAGCAAGTACATCAATGTCACTGGAGCCTGGAGGGGACTGAGGGGTAAAGAAGCAGTCAGAGGCCAGATTATGGAGGCCTCTATATGTTGTGCTCAGAAATTTGACTTTGGATTTGAATTCTGTTTGCCCCTTTGAAAATAACACACTGGATACATGCAGAAAAAAACATTTTGATGAATTGATGACAGTAAATTCACTGGTAAGAATAAAGACCCACCAATCAAATTCAGATATAAATAATCTTGGCAGAAAAATTTTAAGGAGACAAATCATACAGGCTTCAGCAGATTGCCTTACCAAACTCCAATTAAAGCAAGTTCTGGAGCCTACAACATGCAGAGTGATTGTCACACACTGCTATAACTTCTGGTGGCATAGTGGGTAAGGAATTTGGCTGCTAACCAGGAGTTAGTGGTTCAAACCCACCAGCTGCTTTGCAAGAGAAAGACGAGGCGATCTACCTCTCTAAAGATTTACAGCCTTGGAAACCCAATGGGGGTCACTATGAGTTGGACTCTATGGCAGTGGATCTTATTTATCTATCTATCTATCTATCTATTTATTTATTTATTTATTTATTTATTGTGATTTGGGTGAAAGTTTACATAGCAAATTCACTTTCCATACAGCAGCTCACATACACTGTCTCATAACACTGACTACAATTTACCACAATACAACAACTCCTCATAGTTACCTCTTCCCTGCGTCCTTCCTTCCATGCACTCCTGTCCCCTGAGCTGTCTCTTCATGCATACACAACCCTTCTATTCTCCCATGATTGTTCTCACCAAGGAGAGTATCTACCTAATGTAAATGTTAACCTCATATGCCTGTCTTTTGTTTGCCTGGAAGCCACAGGAATGGGTTCAGTTCCAGACCTGAAGGGCAGCTAGGGGCTATAATATCAATGGTTACATCAGGCTCTATCCGACCAGCAAACCTGGTCCCTTTTTTTTTCTTAAGTGATTTTTAGTTTAGTTCTGCATTGTTCTCCCACTCTATCCAAGAACTCCTGCATAGATCCCCGTCCGAGTGGATGACAGTGGTAGCTGACCACCATTTAGTTCTTCTGGTCTCATAGTCATATAGGCTGAGCATTGCATGGTGTACCTATCACTTGGACTAATTGTTTCCATGAATATTTGGTTTTCTTCATTCTTCTTTGCTCTGGACGAGGAGAGATCCATCATTGCATCTAGATGGCCTCTTGAAAGCTTTTAAGATCCCAGTCACTACTTGGATGGCAGTGGATTTTATAACATCAGTAGTTGTTGTTGTTAGGTGCCATTAAGTCAGTTCTGGTTCAGAGTACCCTATATACAACAGAACTAAATACAGCTTGATCCTGAGCCATCCTCACAATTGTTGCTATGTTGTGGCTGTGTTTCAGCTGCTGTGTCAATCCATCTCACTGAGGGGTCTTCCCTTTTTTCACTGACCCTCTATTTTACCAAGCATGATGTCCAGACTCCAAAACTTACCTTAACTGGAGTTCAGTTAGGCAATCTGCTGAAGCCTGTATGATATATCTTCTTAAAATCCCTTCTCCAGGGACTGGTGCCTCCTGATAACACATCCAGAGTATGTGAGTCTTGCTTCCAAGGAGCACTCTGTCAGCACTTCCTCCAAAACAGATTTGTTTGTTCTTCTGGCAGTCCATAGCATATTCAGTATTCTTCGTTAATATCACAATTTAAATGTATCAATCTTTGGTCCTCCTTATTCATTGTCCAGCTTTCATATGAATATGAGGTGATGGAAAATACCATAGAGTGGGTCAGGCCTTGACAATTTCATTAACAGAAGGTAAAACATGAGAAATATATCCCCATGTCTTAATTTGCTACTAAGACAAATCTATAGTCTCCTGTGAATGTCTATTGCTAACTACATTTCCAAGCAATTTACAATAGCTTACAATAGGTTTAAAGTCATTTCTGCTTTAAAATCTTTTCTGGTTAGGACAATGGCAAACAGTTAGAGGGAAGGTTACAATTGTTTGTTTTAGATTTCTCAGTCAGTCTTGTCAAGAGACCAAAAAGGGTAGACAAAAACCAGTCTGGCCTGTTGCTACGTCACTGGCAGGGACTTTCCCAACACACAGACTGAGCTGGGTGCTATGAATTCTTTCAACCATAGATGGTCACTTAAGGCATCAGAGAGATGTCTATGTCTTCTTAACATTCCAGTTATATATAGCCACAGTTATTTTAGAAGAAACAACCACAGTTGCTTTAGAAGAACAATAACATTTAACACTGCTGGATTAAAATGCTTACACTTGACCTTATCTAAGATGTAGACCTCCTGATGCTGATGAACTTAGCAGGCTAATTACTGCATTAAAAAAAACACTGCCATTGAGTGGATTCTGACTCATAGCAACCTAATATAATCAGTAATACAGCTCCTTATCTAGAGATATGAGAAACCCACCCTCTTAGAGTTTACCTAATGCTTTCACCTAAGAAAATCCAATTGGAATCATGAATAAGTTGACCAAAAGTTTTCTTTTAGCATAGACCACTCTCTGCATATGTTACCAAAGGAAAAATGATTTTCAACAATGATCCCTGCATTAAAAACTCCTACATAGAAATTAATAAAAAGTGTATAAAAGTCCATGTATAACTTTATACTTATTCGTTTGAAAAGGTATACAAAACGAATGGTTTTTTAAGAAAGCTATATTACAAAAATTGTCTTAAAAAGAATTTAAAAGAAGAGGAAGAAATAGAAATTTAAAATTTAGTTTAAATTATTTGAAAAGAAAATATCAGGCAAAATGATTTTAGGCAAGGTTGACTAAATTGTCAAGGTACAGATAATTCCCATGAGATTTAAACTGCTCCAGAGCATAGAAAAGACAGAGCTATCCTCACCTGGCCACTTATTCACCCAGTGTCCCTGGGTAAATCCACTCCTTTCTCTTGCTTCCATTTCCTCCCCTCATGCAAAGGAGGCTGAAGGACCTGCCTTTGCCTTTCCCCTCTGGCTCAGTGGACAGATCCTTTAACCAGCTCCATGAATCCTAGGAATGGGCTCATCCATTGGACATGCTGGGTCGGTCTTACACGGAGCAGGTAAGGCTCCTGGAGAGAAGGAAATCCAGCACTTTTTGGCACAAGTATGAGCCAGTGGTGATGCAGGCGAGTGTGAGCTTTTCCTGCTACTTGCACCTCCCCACATCTCAGCAAGGTGCCTTTCACCATCATCATCACATACAGAGGAGAAAATTAATCTCAATTAATTAATTATTATTATTATCATTAATTTTTAATTAATTTCTATGTAGGAGTTTTTAATGCAAGTATCATTGTTGGAAGGGAAGAGAATGCCTTGGCCACCCCATCAGGCAGTGACAGAGACAGGGTTCAAGCCTCTATAGGGCCACAGCCCAGGCTCCTCTCCCCACTTCTTGGCTTCCCAGGGCAGCCCTGCTGCTTCCAGCCCAATAGGGATGGACTTGATGATGCTGAATTCCTGAATGGGTATACCCACCAGGTCTTCAAAGAAAGCTGAGAAGAGTCCTGGGGTGTCTGTCAGGGCAGAAGACACCAAAATGCTTCCCTTGTTTGAAACTAAACCCTGTGATTTATTTTTCATATCGATTTATCCTGCACTTGGGAAGAGAATCAAAAGAAAATATAAACGAAGAGCCTAAAATTAAAAGTGAACAAAGAGAGGTGTAGCATAGGAACCCAAACAGGCATGACAGGCTCACCCTAGGAGCAGAGCCCTTAGGAATACGGACAGGAGTTGCTCCTGACCATTTCATGCCTCTATGTGTCCTAACATAAACCCCCTTCTAACCCTTGTATCCTTCTTGCCTCCAGGGAGATACCAGTGGTGACTACAAGAATGCCCTACTGAACCTGGTGGGCAGTGACCCCTGAAGATTCAGAAGATGGAGGGCGAAGGCCAGAAGCTGAGCCACTGAGTCGTGCTTGGTCAACCTTTGCCATGGATAGCGATGAGAGGGAGAAACCACCACTAGCCTGTCAGTTTCTGTCTCCAGTTTCCAATGCTTTCCAGTCAGTGTCCTGACCCAAGGGGAGGGTCACCCTGGGGCTCTTCCCTTCACCTTTCTCCTAACTCATTTCCAAACTTAATAAGTACACCAACCAGAGGGCATCTCTGCCTGACCAACACCTTGGTAGGAAGGGCCCTGCAGGGACACATGGACCTTTTCTTTCCCCTTAAACAGGAGCTTTACAGCTTGACTGGTCAGAGCCACCTTGGTACCATTAGACATATCTCTGGGGCCCAATCCATCTGCTGGATCTGGGTCTCCAGGGAAGGGGCCAGAAAATATGCAATTTTTTTTTTTTTTTACAAGTGTCTCAGCTTACATGCTTCTTTATTAGGCAAGCTGCAAGAAAGCTATAGGGAGCCCATTTGCTACCAAACACCCTGCATGGACTGCTGGCCAGGGAGGTCAAGAAAGAAGCACTTACATACACATTAATTTCAGTATCACTCGCATTCATCCACCAGCCTTAGCTACACATCTTAGGCTATAAGTGGAAGGAAGGTTCCCTCACCATCCTGACAACAGAGAGTAAGCTACACATCCATGTCCCAACCAAAAGCTCAGGGTGCCCATGTGTTCTAAAGGCTCAGGCTACCCAGAATCACTGATTAGACCAGCAGCACTTTCCTCCTATTACACAGGCATAGCTTGTCTGGGAGGGAGCTAGCCCTGAGCATGACACTCCCTAACTGGATGGTGGCTGTCATTGCTGTCTGGAGAAGCTGAGATGCTTTTGCTGTGGTTTCCAGAACAATAAAGATCTGTATATGCAATCCGAGTCCGACTCGATGGCACATAACAACAACAACATATGCAATCCGAATGTCTTTGTATTTTTAGCAGTCACCATAGTAGGAAAAATTTGTCAGTGGACATAAAAGAAATGTAATTTAAAAAACAACAAACTTTGAAGAGTTATCAAATCTGAGCATGTATGTGGGCATGTTCAAGTGGGACATTGTCACATTGGGGACAACTCTTGTAAATGAAGATAATTTCTCTTCCCTTTTAATTTAGAGCCTAAATACCAACATCCTAGGGCTACCTGAGGCTGACTCTCCTCTATGATGTCCTGTCCTGCCCAAGGTTTCCCCAGCCTATCCCTGGCTGCCTCCTGGGACAGCTCAGTCTTTTCCCAACAGATGCCATCAATAGAGTTCTTCCTTCAATTGAATCCAATCCTGCCCCATCACCCTCAATGCTCTTGAATCTGCCAAGTAGAGCCACAGAGTTCACCTTTTTCTAGTAACAAGGTCTGCAATATCTGAAAACAGTCCTCATTTTTTCCACAACTTCTAGTCACAATTTAGTCAAAGCTAAATACCTCCACTGTCTTCAACTGTCCTTCCTGGAGCTGGAGTGGGGCTGCTTCCTCTGAACATGCTTCAGTTAGCAAACTCCCTCTGACAATGAATCCCAAGGGGTTAGAGCATCCACAGAAGAAGCTGCTCAGTGTGTTGAGGTAACACCAACTTTGATCTCACATCAGTGAGAGGTAGATTCTGGATCTGTCCCGGGCTGGCTTCATGACTCTGATCCAGTCACTTAACTCTCTCTAAGCCTCAGTTTCCTTACATTTGAAAGCAATAATGAGGTCCCTGTTAAAATTGCTACATTTCAAACCACTTCAATATTGTTGTTGTTAGGTGTCATAGAGTCAGTTCTAACTTTTAGCAACCCTGTGTACAACAGAATGAAAACACTATCTGTCCCTGTACCATCCTCACAGTCATTGCTATGATTTAGCCCATCTTTGCAGCCACTGTGTCAATCTTTCTCACTGAAGGTCTTCCCCTTTTTTGCTGACCCTCTACTTTACCAAGCATGATATCCTTCTCTTGAGACTGGTCCTTCTGTCCAACTTTATCCCACATGGCTGAAGTACAAGAGGTGAATCTCACCATCCTTGCTTCAAAGGAGCATTCTGTCAGGACCATAGTCCCAGGGGATATCAACCTTAATTGGCATAACATACTACACAAAACATTGTTCCACCTCCTACTTTGGCAAGTAGCAACTGGGATCTTAAAAGCTTGCAAGCTGCCATCTAGATGCAACAATGAGTCTCTCCTCATCCAGAGCAAAGAAGAGATTCATGGAAACAATTAGTCCTAGTGACTGGTACACCATGCGATCCACAGCCTATATGACTATGAGACCAGAAGAACTAGATGGTGTCCAGCTACCACTGTCAACCACTCAGAGGGGGATCTATATAGGAGATCCTGCATAGAGGTAGAACAATGTGGAACAAAACTCAAAATCATTTGGGGAAAAATAAAGGGGGACCAGGTTTGCTGGTCTGATACAGCCTGGTGGAACCACTGAGACTATGACCCCTAGCTGCCCTTCTTGTCTGGAATTGAACCTACACCTCTGGCTTCCAACCAAACAAAAGACAGGCATATGAGTTGAACATTTGCCTGAGGTAGATACACTCCTTGGAGAGAACAATCATTGGAGAAAGAAGGCCTGTTTATGCACAGGGAGACAGCTCAGGGGGCAGGAGTGCATGGAGGGATGGACACAGGGAAGAGGTAATGATCAGGAAGTGGGAGGGGAGCTGTTGCATTGTGGTAAATTGTGGTCAGTGTCATGAGACAAAGTGTATGTGAACTGCTGTATGGAAAGTGAATTTGCTCTGTAAATTTTCACCCAAATCACAATTAAAAAAAAAAAAAAAAAAAAAGAGCATTCTGGCTGTACTCCATCCAACACAGATTGTTCTCATTGCAGTCCATGGTATATTAAATATTCTTAACCAACACCATAATTCACATTCATCAGTTCTTCTCCAATTGTCCTCAATTACTGTCTCATTTTTGCATGCAAATAAGGCTTGGGTCAGGTGCACCCTAGTTCTCAAAGTGACATCTTTGCTCTTTAACATTTTAAAGAGGTATTTTGTAGCAGATTTGCCCAATGCAATACATCATTTGATTTCTTGACTGCTGCTTCTATTGTTATTGATTGTGAATTCAATAACAGCTCCAGTATTTTCTCCATTTAACATGATGTTGCTTATTGGTCCAGGTGTGAGGATTTTCATTTTATTTATGTTGAAGTGTAATTCACACCGAAGGCTGTAGACTTTGGTCTTCCTCAGTAAGTCCTTCAAATCCTCTTTGCTTTCAGCAATTAAGGTTGTGTCATCTATATATCTCAGGTTGTTAATGACTCTTTCTCTAAACCTGATACCACATCCTTCTTCATATAGTCCAGCTTCTCAGATTATCTGCTCAGCATACAAATTGAGTAAGTGTGTTGAATGATACAACCCTGATGCATAACTTTTTTGTTCAAATGACTGCTCCTTAGTCTATGTACAGGTTCCTCATGAGCACGATTAAGTGCTCTGGAATTCTCATTCTTGGCTATGTTACCCGTAATCTCTTATGATCCATCCAGTCAAATGCCTTTGCATAGTCAACAAAATACATGGCCCTGCACAAGGATGATACGCAAATTCATGAAGCATTCCAAACCTCAATGTTACGGAATGTTAGTGGTATAAAACCATCATTTCATTATGCTCATGGGTTTTGTAGATCAGGAATTGAGAAGAGCACAGTGAAGATAGCTTGTCTCTGCTCCACTAAGTCTGGGGACTCACTCGGGAACACCTGAAGGTTGAGGAGACTCTAGGGCCACGGGCTAAGATCATTTAGAGGCTTCTTCACTCACCGTTTGGTACCTAGGTGGACATGGCTAGAAAGCTGGGCTCAGCTGGGCTATCCTCTAGAGATCCTATAGGCTACCTCTCCTACACGGCAGGCTCATGAGAAGTGATGGGTTTCTCATGGGACAGATCAGGGCTCCATGGTGTTCCAGGACTGGAACCAACAATCTTGAATAATTTCATTATCTTAAAAACTGACTAGGCCATGCTATGCACACAGCCTGTATACAGCCTTGTGGGAGGACTCATTGTTGTTCAGATCCTGTCTTGGAGTTTCTTTCAGTGTTGAGTGGCTGTGTGACCAGTAGCTGCTTCCTGGTAAAGCCCATTGGAAAGTATCCAAAGGATTCTCTGCCCTGTGCTGGTTCATACAGGACATTGGATTCTGTGGTGCTGTTTTTTGTTGTTGATATTAGTTGCCGTTGAATGAGTTCTGACTTATAGTGACCCTAAGTACAACAGAATGAAACACTGCCTGGCCTCACACCATCCTCAAACCATCATTGCAGCCACTATATTAATCCATGTCACTGAGGGTCTTCCTCTTTTTTGCTAACCTTCTCCTTTACCGAGCAGGATATCCATCTCCGAGGACTGGTCCCTCCTGACAACATGTCCAAAGTACATGAGATGAAATCTTGCCATACTCACTTCTTAGAAGCATTCTGGTTATACTTCTTCCAAGACAGAATTTTTGGTTCTCCATGCAATCTATGGTATATTCAATATTCTTTGCCAACAGCACGATTCAAAGACATCAATTCTTCTTGGGTCTTCCTTGTCCAGCTCTCACATGCATATGAGGTTATTGAAAAGACCATTGTTTGGGTCAGGCACACCTTAATCCTCAAAGTGACACCTTTGCTTTTCAACACTTTAAAGAGGTCTTTTGCAGCAGATTTTCCCACTGCTATGTATTATTTGATTTCTTGACTGCTGTTTTCATGGGCATTGATTATGGATCTAAATAAAATGAAATTCTTGACAACTTCAATGTTTTCTCTGTTTGTCATGATGTTGCTTATTAGTCCAGTTGTGAGGTTGCTTTAAAAAAAAAAAAAAAAAGAAATTGAGGTGAAATCCATACTGAATGTTATAGTCGTTGATCTTCTTCAGTAATTTCAAGTTCTTTTTGCTTTCAGCAAGCAAGGTTGTGTCCTTTGCATATTTTTGTTGTTGTTGTT